TGTGCCTCAGGTGGAGGTATTTGGCTCAGCTCACTTTGAAAAACAAGCTGAGACAATATTCATACTGTCAGTGATGTGCAGTTGGGCATGGGTTGCACTCACACAAGGTATGTCCACAGAAAAGAGGTTATCAACTAAACTGTTCAGTAAGACCCATTAGATTTAGATCTAAAATGATACTGCAACAAGTAATTCCACATCATTATTAAACCTGTATACTGGGCCACCTTTACAGGTCACACAACAAATTGAAACATTAACAACCTATTTTAAACCACACCATGAACCAGCAAGCCTAAGTACAACCATAGACCCGCAATACACTTGGAGAAATGTAGCCACAGCTATAAAAGTGCTAAAATATGTCTTAAAGTTGAAATTCTACAAAGCAGGAGAGACATTTTCTGTAGAAGTGCAAATAACAGCACAAAAGCTGGGATCACTTACTATGACCCCTCTATATGGCCTCTCCATAACTGAAAACACCGCAGCTGTTTATGGCCATTTCTTCACCTTTCTTCATGGTGTAATAATTTATAAATCAGAAAAAGGGTTGAAAAAGAACCTGAGACGTTTCTGCGTGGAAAAGAAATATTCAACACAATAATTTTAAAAACATACAAATCAGAATCAAATGTGTGAAGAGGTAGAGTTGGCTCCAGATCTTTGAGTTTGACACCTGTAATAGAGGTAGTCTCCGTTTGTGAATGACTGACAGCTCACAGCATAAACAAATAACATCACAGAATAATCAGACATCATCTGAAGCAAAGCATCATAAATACCCACCATCCTGGGTACGTTCTTTTTTTATTATAAACTTTAAAATACACACATAAAAAAAGTTTACAAATACAATGAAATCACGTACTTCTTACTGATACAGTTGCTGATTTTACAAGCATGGAAGTGCAGATTATTACGTGTGGATACGCATGTGTCTCTTTAGATTCCCCTGTCTCGTAAATCTTTCGCCACAAACACCACAGGAGAACGGTTTCTCCCCTGTGTGAACACCCGTGTGTCTTTTAAGTGTATACTGATGTCTAAATCTCTTCCCACAAACGTCACACCCGAATGGCTTCTCTCCCGTGTGAACTCTCCTGTGGCTCTTCAGAACCCCCTGCTCGGTAAATTTTTCACCACAAATGTCACAACCAAAAGGCCTCTCTCCCGTGTGGACCCGCATGTGTCTCTTAAGATGCGTATTTCGACTGAATGTTTTACCGCAGTCGTCACAGCAAAATGGTTTCTCTCCTGTGTGAACTCCGCTGTGCCGTTTAAGACTCCCCTGCTCTGTAAATCTTTCACCGCAAACATCACAGCCAAATGGTTTTTCTCCCGAGTGGACTCTCATGTGTCTTTTAAGGTTGTACTGAAGTCTAAATTTTTTTCCACAGGCATCACAACTGAAGGGCTTCTCTCCAGTGTGGACTCTGATGTGGATCTTAAAGTGTGTCTTCTGGCTAAACTTTTTACCACAAAATCCACAGTCAAATGGTTTTTCTCCCGTGTGGACGGTCATGTGTATATTAAAATGTGTCTTCCGGCTAAATGTTTTCCCACAAATGCCACATCCAAAGGGCTTCTGTCCTGTGTGGATTCCTCTGTGCCTCTTCAAACTCCCCTGTTCTGTAAAATGTTTACCACAAATGCTACAACTAAATGGTTTCTCTCCCGTGTGAACCCTGGTGTGTGACTTGAGATTTGACTGATGGATAAATCTTTTCCCGCAAACATCGCAAGCAAAGGGCTTTTCTCCAGTGTGAATTCTCATATGACTCTTAAGAACCCCCTGCTGTTTAAATCTTTTGCCACAAAAACTGCAATCAAATGGCTTCTCTCCCGTGTGGACCCTCAGGTGTCTCTTTAGATCCCCTTGTCGGGTGAATCTTTTACCACAAACGCCACAACAAAATGCCTTCTGTCCTGTATGATCTCTCCTGTGTCCCTTTAGATTTTCAGACTGGCTACATTTTCCACCACAAACTTCACTCCCGAGTGCACTGCTCTCCTTCCAGCTGTTATCACTGTCTTCAGTTTCAGGTGCATAATCTGACAAAGGTTCCTGCCAATCTTCATCGTCATTATTACTGACTTCTGTCTCAGAGGAGTCTGA